GTAATTTGGATGTATTGGTTGGAGTAAAATATTGGAAAATGTTCACAGATATTTTGAAGAAAGGTTCCTATAGTTTGAGGTGCAGGAAAGCTGGGTAGTCTGTGATAGTGAAGAAACTTATTGTAGCATGTATTGGGTTTAGTATAGTTGTCTATATTAAATACTCTAGTAGAAAATCTTTGATTATATAGGTTGGGGGATGGAATTAGTTCATTGTTAGATTCTTCCTCAAGAAAGGTATTATTGTTTTTGAGAAAGTCATTGTCGAGAAAGAGTTCAAGAGTTTGTGTATTGTTAGTAGGAGGATTGAGGTTTTGTATCTCAGAAGGAGGTGGTAAAATAGGGTCCGAGATAGTTAAAGAAGTATTTTCTGAATGGTCACTGTATGCCCGGCTAGCACGGCTTCGCAAGATTTGGAATCTCTCAGATTAAATGTTAGAAGGCCGTCGTGATCTAAATCTTCCGGGTAATTAAGATAATTTCTTTGGCTATAGAAAATATTTTATTAGTAATTATTTGCTATTATAGTTACAATAAAGATATAACTAGCTATATATGTACTTTTTAAATACCTATTTAAATAGTTTGTCTATAGGTTTTATACTAGATATTATATCTATAATCTAACTAAAAAGTTACTTATTTAAACCTTCTAATTCTAACTATTTATATATATTATACTAACCCAAAAACTACTATCTGGCCTATTTTACTAAACTGTACACCCTGTCTTAAAACTTTTGTACTTTATTTTGGATTTGTACTGACTAATTACTGGCTTGTATTTCCCTATTAAATAGATATATAGCTATTCTCAAGATAAACTTACTAGAGCCTTCTTTATTTTATTTGGGCCAACCTGGTTTTGCATAATTGTTGAGGCTTTTACTTATAATTAGGTTTTTTTATTTAATTGCTTTTGTTTTTATAAGGTTTATTTTTAATTGTAATACCTACATTTGAGCTTTTTTTTTTTTTGTTATTTTTTTATTAGTCTATTTTTTACTTCTAATCTATAACTTAAAAGATTCAATCTTGGCTTGGCTTTAGGTACCTAATACTCTTATTTTATCTTGTTATATAATTTTCTAGTATATGTCTTTTTTTTTTAAATTTGATTAGCTAATTTTTTAAACATGCCTAGTATTTTTCTGTCTGACTAGTTTTCTGCCAAACTTTTATAGTCTCTGTTTTGGTAAAGTAAAATCTTTTACTACTAGTTTTTCATATCAGCTAACTAGAGTTGGTGTATTTTATAATACCTTACAGATTTTTAACTTTTTTAAATTGGTGGTCAGATTAGTAAATCTCTTTATTAAAAGATCTTGTTATTTGGTTCTCTAATCTTGGTTCTGAATTTTAAATTTAAGTCTTTTCTATAGTATTATCAAAGATTATAGCTACTTCTTATTTAAGTCTTCCCAAATAAATTTCAATTATCTCAGTTTTTTGGTATTTTATACACCAAAGCTTCTATATAAATATAGTACTATTGAGATTACAAATTTTTAAATCTAACTAATAGACAAATAATTATTACTATAATACAAGCTTATTTTTTGAAAGCATTATTTATGAAATTCAAACTTTGAACCTGCTACTTGGTAAAGTAATAACTAGATCACTTTATTAAGCTACTACACTTAAATATATTTAATTATTATATTATTATTATACAGTAGTATTAGTATTAAATTTATTAGTATAGTTAATTAGTATATTATATATATATATTATTGTAAAGTGTGGTGACTTGGTGAAGTAATAGAGTTCCCAAATAGCAGATTTAGAGTTTAAATTTCACAGATAATGATTTTGAAAATTAGGCTTGTAATATAGGGGAGAGTCAATAGAAAAGGGCCAAATTTTTTTTAAGTAAAAGTTTTCTTGACTTTAAGCTTAAATATCTTAGCAATTATCTTATTAAATTTAATAAAT